TTTAGGTCTAACATTTCAGTCTCTAATCCATCTTGAATTAATTTTTGTATAAGGTGTAAGGACGGGATCCAGTTTCAGCTTTCTACATATGGCTAGCCAGTTTTCCCAGCACCATTTATTAAATGGGGAATCCTTTCCCCATTTCTTTTTTTGTCAGGTTTGTCAAAGGTCAGATGGTTGTAGATGTGTAGTATTATTTCAATGGTAAAAAAGGATGAGTTCATGCCCTTCGCAGGGACTTGGATGCTGCTGGAAACCATCATTCTCAGCAAACTACTGCAAGAACAGAAAACCAAACACCACATGTTCTCACTTATAGGTGGGAACTGAACAATGAGAACACTTGGACACAGGAAGGGGACCATCACACACTGGGGCCTGTCGTGGGGTGGGGGGAGGGGGGAAGAGATAGCATTAGGAGATATACCTAATGTAAATGATGAGTTAATGGGTGCAGCACACCAACATGGCACATGTATACATATGTAACAAACCTGCACATTGTGCACATGTACCCTAGAACTTAAAGTATAATAAAAAATAAAAAAAAAAGAAAAAGACATACAATAATGAGTGTTGGTGAAGACAGAAAACACTTGAAATTCTATATTCTGTGGGGGTGTAAACAGGTACAACCACTTTGGAAAACTAGCAGTATTCACTAAATCTGAACTAGGCATACACTATGGCTAGCAATTTCACTCCTATATATAGCTCACAAAAACATGTACACATGTAGACAAAAGTATTAATATAAAAATGTTCATATTGCATTGTTCATTATGACCCCAAATTGGAAACAACCAAAATGCCCATTAACAGTAAAATGGATAATAGTATTTTTATGTGACTGAATGCTATGAAGCCACGATAAACAATGAACTGCTATATGTAACAATATGAATATATATCATAAACATGATATTAGTCAAAATCCATACACAAAAGAACATATGCTATATGATTCCATTTATATAAACATTTTAAAAATACAAAAGCTCATCTATGATATATCACTATAGTAGCTACCTTTGAAGAAGAGGGTACAGATTAGAAAGGGGCATGAGGGAGGCTTCTTGGGTATTTATAAAACTCTATTTCTTGATCTGGGAAGTAGTTATGTGAACATGTGTACCTTTTAGAAATCCATCAAGTTATACACATACGGTTTGATAACATTAAGAAACATTCTTAAACTGGAGTTTACCCACAGCAAATGATAAGTTACACTGACGGAATGAAATACTATTACCCATAACTATTCCTGAAATTTGATTTGTATAGAATTTTCACATTCTGAGACTAAACTAGTAGACAAGATTTGGGCAAAATTTAGAGAGACTGGTGCAAGTAGAGAGACAGGTATGAGAAAAGCATAAAGGTCAGCAAGGGCAGATCATGTTCAGTGACTCGTGAGAAATGCAGCATCATGGGAAAGGTAGCTGAGAAGTGAATCCGGGACCGGACCCAGGAAGGTCTTGAATATTGGACAGGGTTTGTTCTTAATCTCGTAGGCTGTGGAGAATGAATATGAGTTTTTGAACGGGATAATAATATTCCCTTCAGTTCTTCTACTTTTAATAAAGTGAGGCATGGGGAGAGTATCTGAACTTATTCAGAAATGTTTTTGTCCTAGACACGCATGTATGTGCGTGTGCACACACACAAAATTGTGTGTATGTGTATAAAATAATTTCATCCCCACAACAATCAAAAGGAGTGCACTATTCCTACTTCACAGATGAGGAAATTGATGTCTAGAAAGGTAACAGGAGTAGGCTTCTGCCAACAGAGGGACAGCTTTGCTTCCTTTTTCAGAGTAACCTCAGGAAACAGAGCACAGAGGGATTCAGCACTTGTCTTCTCCATTGGTGGTAGGAGTGGTGAGCAGACAAAGAAAGCAAAGAAAATCTCAGTAGCATTCTGGGGAAGCCACCATTGAGGGCAGGTAGCTGGCATGGTTCCTATAGTAATAGATACGATCCCCTGCACAAAATCTCATCCTCCTCTATGCCAGCGGACCCAATTTGATGATTTCATCCAAGCTATGGAGTCAGAGTCACTCAATTCTGTGTCAGCTCAGGGCACTGCCTCTAGAAAAATACTTTTTATTTTAGCAAGTCATTATTAATGATTCTTCCTTCTTGTTTCAGAAATGTTCTCCTGCTCAGTGATGTGCTGGGTGAATGAGTATTTTTTGAAATTTTCCATCTCCTTCATAGCCTTCAGATTTGGCTCATGTGAAAGAAAGCTGAGAAGGTGGAAAATTTCCTTTACCCACACTGATCTCTCTATCACCAATTGTGTCTATATATGTGAATCTAAGATAAGCCATTTTCTCATTAAATGTCCAATATTAGTTTTGGTGTCAGATAGTGGTTTTAGTTTAATTCTCAGACCCATCCCTTCCTAGTTCTGTGATTTGAAACTAGTTAACAAACCCCCTAGAGTCTCAGTTTTCTTATCTGCTTTGGGATGTGATGCTAGTACTTACTTCATAATGAGAAAATGGATGTAAAGTGCTTAACACACAGCCCAAAGCCAAATAAATTATTAATCCCATATGGAGACTTGTTTTCTGGCCTTTCTATTACTTAATGGAGAATTTCTTAGTAATTTTTAACAATGACTATCCAAAGTAATTGGTAAATGTAGTGTTTCAATTAATTGAATATTACCAGTAACTGAATTGATACGCACACACATAAAACCAATACATAAGATCAATAATACTTAGGGAATAAGATTCACAATCGAATTCTAAGGGCACTATTACTGTAAAGCACTTAAAACCCAGGATATGAATCCAGTTGGCTTTTAGAGTCCCTACATTAATATATAAACAGAGATAGCTTCTGCATGTACCCATTTAAATCATGCAGAAACTGAAGTATGCCTTTTTATCTATATTATTACACCTGAAAACATGCCCCTTCATTGTATAACCATGAGAAAGTCACTTGAATTCTCAAGATTCATTTTCCTTGTCTATAAAATGGAGATAATCATAATACCTCCTTCATAGTATTGTTGTGAAGTTTAAATGACACAGTCAATTTTAAAAAGCTTAGCATTAGAGTGCCTGTAATCCCAGTGCTTTTGGAGCTCAAGGAAGGTGGATCACTTGAAGTCAGGAGTTCCAGACCAGCCTGGTCAACATGGTGAAACCTCATCTCTACTAAAAATACAAAAATTAGCCGGGTGTGGTGGCACACACCTGTAATCCCAGCTACTCAGGAGGGCTGAGGCAGGGGAATTGCTTGAACCCAGGAGGCAGAAGTTGCAATGAACCAAAATCACGCCATTGCACTCCAGCCTAGGTGAGAGTGAGACTCCATCTGAAGAAAAAAAAAAAAAAAAGGAAAAAAAAAAAAAAGGAAAGAAAGCTTATCATATAGTACATACTCATTATTGTAAAGGATTAGCTTTGTACTTCAGCTGCATCCTCTTTACAGGCCTCTTTATATCTCCTGGTTGCTGTTGTTTGTGTTGGCTGCTGATAATTCTCAGCTGCCCCTCCACTAGGAACTAGCCTTCAGCTAAACAGAAGCCTCCTTTCCTGGGAAGAAACGCCCCCACCTCCCAGGACAGCCAATTGTAACAAACACAGTAGTACAAAAGGCTGCCCACCGAGCTCTTTACCCACTACCTCAAAGTGGGTTAAGATGTGTTGCAACTTGAGCTTCCCTGTAGAATCAAACCAAAACTAGTCTTCAGCAGTGACCACACTCTTGTTTAAGTTTCCTACTGCTGTCCTATCCTGCTTCCTTCACTCTTCTTATCTTGGGAGAACTTCCCCAATGAAGTATAAGAATCTCAGTCCTCACTGCTTAGGAACCCAATTTAAGGCAACTGGCATTGGAGATGGATTCTAGGGTTAATTCACTTGCTGGCTGGATGGCAATGAGGACCCCACTGGTGGAGGTAGGTGGAGAATTAATCCTTGGTATACTATACAGTGTGATTGCTAAGATTTCCATTGTAATGAGCTGGTGTGGGTTTGGGTGGAATGTCTGGTGCAGTGTCTCAGGCATTTGAGAAATGAGGGAAAATAGTTATAAGTTATTTGGAGTTGAATGAGTAGTTGAGAGAAAATTACAGACTCAGATAAATTAGACAAAATTTTAAGGCAAAGCATAAGAGTAGAAGGCTTCAACTCCTGCAGCTGGGATGGGGTGGGGGGGCACAGGACTTGATTGCAATAGTGCAAAACTCTGAGAAGGCAGAGCTCTCAGGCTAGGCAAGTCTCTTAAGCCAAAGTCATGATCTTAATAGGGAAAGCATGTGATTTTGACTCTTGGAATAGATCTTTGCATATATGCGCTTCGAACTTCAATTTCCCCTGAACCCTCTGTTCCTGAAGAAATGGCCTATTCTCCATTGTCAAAGATTATCCCCCATTCCCCAGCTTACTTGAAGACTATAAAGAGACTTCAAATAAGGCTTTATAAGACAATGAAGGGTCCTCTTCAGGATATGCCCCCACTTCCTCTCTTAGCCACCTGATGCATAACTAGCATCAAATCTCAGCTCATTCAGGAAAGTGCTGGGCCTTCTGAAAGGAAGATGAAATTATATGTTCAAGGAACCTCAGGACCTAGAGAAAACTTACTAAGCAGAAGCTTGGAGAGTGTGTCTAAGAGAGGACCCTAGGAGTGCCTAACCAAAGAGAACAGAATATAAGTTTGTTAAGGGAAAGCCTGGGGATTTGGGGCACTCCACCACTGCGGTAAGCTAATTCCCTAGCAAGGACTTAGGAGGTGACTCATACTGATGCTAGGAAAGATTTTGGAAGATTGAAAAAGGCAATGAGGCAAAGTGAAGTAAAAATGCAGGAACTTTTGTGACAAATAATGGAGAAGGTATTAGAAATTTCAGAGAAGTGGGTATGCTGGATTACATCTGCTAAATAAGACAAGAAAACCACTAGATGACCAAATTCTCAAGAGGACCCACAGGGCAATCCATTTAGAAAGAAATGCACTGGTGAGGGGGCTTCAGCATCATTGAAAACCTCAGCAGCAGCTGTCTTTTGTAAGCCAGTTCTGGTGGTAGGGCATGCAGTTAAAGAATTGGGTTCCTACTAACAACCAGGATGATAGGAGTCTGGAAAAACAAGTCACGTGGCAGCACTTAACTGTCAGAAGCAAGGTGGGTGTAATAACCATAATGGGCAGCAGGCTCAGAATGGCAGCCAGAGAGGCCTAACCTATAGATATCAAAGGAGATGGCTAGAACATGGTGTTCCTAGGGACAAAATAAATGGACAGTCAAAAAGGGTACTGTTTATTATATATAATCAAAATAGATCAAGAATGGTTTGGTAGAAGGCTGAAGTCAGCCACTTCTGTAGAAAGTCATAATCTCCTAATCAGTTTTTGGCTCTCTGGTTAGAACCCATTGACTGAAGGACAGACCAGGTCCCTATGAGGAAGAATGCTGCAAGACCATGGCAAGTGTATACAGTTATTTCTCCAATCTTCCCCCCCAAAATCTTTGACCATTTACCCAGATCTTTCTAGAGTTATTAGATACACATTTTGGATTGATGCTGAAACCCAGGGGGCTCAGAGCACCAATGTGGCACCCCTGTTAGAGTAGGGGCACATTTGTGGCTGAGACAGCAAATGGAATCTTGGCCCAGATCCACCTCACAGTGGATCCAATGGGTCACAGTCCCACACTGTGCTCATTTTCCTGCTTCCAAGCTTGGTAATTGGAAGAGACATATTTAGCATTTGGTGGAAACCTCGCATTCATTTCTTGATGTATACAGTAAGAAGCCCTGTAGTGGAGAAGATTAAGTTGAAACCCCTGAAACTTCACCCCTTTCTTCTTACACCAAGATTTAAAAAAAATTTTTATCCCAAAGGAATGGCAGAGATTAGCACTACCCTGAGATCCAAAGGATGCAGGTATGATTGTCTTCGTTGCATTCCCCTTTAATTCACCAGTTTGGCCCCTGCAAAGCAGATGAATTATGAACGATATTAGACTGTTAAATATGAAACCAAACAGTATTCCTAATTGCAACTGCTGTGCTGGATGTGGTATCATTACTTATCATAAACTTAGGACAAAATTATCTTCCCTAAGAGTACCTATGTCTTTCATGAAAGACATTCATGAGTTCATGAACTTGGAAATTTTTAAATAGACCAATTAGACATAGAGTTAATTTCTTAAAATGAGTTGGGTGTCTACGTTTTGGGTTGTAGAGTGAGAATATAAGTAGCTAGTAAATTACTTTAAATTTCTACTATTAAGCAGGGCTTTCAAATAATTATGCCAATTAAAAAATTTATACATTTTGGTAAGAGCTTATTTCAAATCTTGTTTTTAAATGGTTTAAAATAGATACCTTACAAACAACAAGTATGACTCACAGTTGGGGATAAAAACAGATATAAGCTTTGTGGAGAAATATGGGGAACCAGAAACTTCCCCCTATTCTGACTGGAAAGTATAATCTCTCTTCCCTCTAAGAGCTTGTTTCCCCACTGGCCCCTCCTGAGTCCAGCTTTAGGAGAAGACTGAGAGGGAGCAAAATCTCTGCACAGAGAGAGGGAAAATCGAATCTGAATTATACCGAGGCTTTGAGAATCTACTCCTCTCCCTCATGTTCACATAGATCCTTAACCTTCTCCAAAAGATTCCAGGGATATATCACCAGGAGGAAAAGAAATGGAGCAGGGGAGAGCTCCACTGCTGCATAGGATTTTTACCCTTCCCAGATGGCCAGCTAAGACCAGCAGCCTAGAACAGAAGCAATCTGAAAAGAGGTTAATCTCAACCAGTCTCCAATTTAATTGTGTAAAGTCCTTCTTTCCTGTGACTGAATGCAGAGTGAATCTCATTCTCACAGCTGCCTTCTTGCAGGTCCCAAGAACAAACACATAGCCTTTTGTTTAAAAGGTTGTAGTGCTCTTTACTACAGACTTGGAAGAAGCTAGGAATTGATGAAGTTCTTGTTATCACTCCTTTTCCATGTCCTGGACCCCTTGCCTAGATGATAGCAGAAACCCCACTGACCTCCTGTAGGCTTAACTATTTATAGAGTGCTTGTCTTACTTCTCTGATTCCTCATATCCCAATCTTCCCTTGGTCTCATGGATCCTTCCTCACCAGTTCCTTCTTTCCTACATGAGTTCATGGTATTATTGGTCCCAATTCTTTGCCCTATCCTCTGCATTCACATCCTTGTCATGGCCTCAATGTAAGTGGGGCTTGACTTTGAGCTTAGTCCTGTTGCTTGCTTTGCATTTCCATTTGCTCTCTTGCACTTCCACCATTTATCATGAGAAGGACATGCCCAGGGTAGGGAGGATGAGACTCATGTGGTCAAATCTGCTCACACCACTGGCAGCTTAAAGTAGACCTCCCCTCCTCTTACCCTGCCAGCTGATCTGTAGAGCTGTAGTGAGAAGCAGAGTCCAGTCCAGATCTGCTGAACCCCAGTTGACAAACTGAATGTGAGCAAGAGTAAATTGTTGTCTTAGGCCACTGAGTTATGAAATGCTTTGTTACTCAGCAATAGGTGGACAGGTCTCAGGATTCCACCAGAATCAACAAGTATAAACTATAGCCCTTCTTCTCAGTTGGTTAATATTATCTCTGAATCTCAAGATATCACTGGCAGACATTGCCACCGCTGCATGTCATAAAACACACACACACCTCTATGAATACTAAATAAACCAACAACAAAACAAAATCCAATAACTTTGCAAGAGTCTAAAACTATTAAAAAGGTATAAAAGTTTAGGATATTCAACTGGTTTATTAAAAGTTACAAAGATAAATGTACTCACACCTACCTTTATTTTCCTTTGTTCATAAGTTGGCCTTTTATTCTCTCATCATTGAACTTGGATGCAATACCAAAAAGACAATATTAAGCACTATTAAACAACAGGCAACACTTTGCCAGATACTCAACAAGTATTAAACTATAAACTTAAAGGCCAGGTGCAGTGGCTCAAATCTATAATCCCAGAACTTTGGGAGGCCAAGGCAGGCAGATTACCTGAGATCAGGAGTTCAGGACTAGCCTAACCAACATGGTTAAACCCAAACTACCAAAACTACAAAAATTAGCCAGGCATGGTGGTGGGCACCTGTAATCCCACCTACTCAGGAGGCTGAGGCAGGAGAATTGCTTGAACCCGGGAGGCAGAGGTTGCAGTGAGCCGAGATCACGTCACTGCACTCCAGCCTGGGCAACATGAGTGAAACTCTGTCTCAAAAAAAGCAAACAAACAAACAAAAACTATAAACTTTATAAATAGAGAATCCTACCATACTGTGAATTGAAACATCCAAAAAATGTAAGGACTTCAACTATTTTCTACCTACTTGACATTAATATACATCCCATAAAAATTCCAGTATTTAGGGACTTGAAAAAATGATTTTTAATGTTTGTTTAAATAAATGAACATCTGACCAGCACAGTGGCTCATGCCTGGGATACCAGCACTCTGGGAGGCCAAGATGTGTGGATCGCTTGAGGCCAGGAGTTCACGACCAGACTGGGCAACATGGTGAAGCCCTGTCTCTACAAAAAAAAAAAAAAAAGAAAAGAAAAAGAAAAATAATGAAAAACAGGAAAAACTTAAATTCACAGATGTCAGAACAAATTACAATAATTAAAACTATAGTTCTGACACAAGAGAAAACAGCTAAAAATAGAATGTATTTACATATAAGAATTTTTTACATGAGACAGCAGTGCGAAAAGAAAGCATTCTGCTCAGTGATGGAGCTGGGATTAATTAACAATGTGTAGGAAGCATCAGTTCTGTAAACTGCTGGAGGCAGGACCATTTTTGCTCATCTTGCACCTCCAATGCCCGATATGTCGGAGGGAGGCATTCATCAAATAATACTGAGCATATTTTACTGAGGACCTGCATTTACAAAATTTAATCTCAGTGAAACAAGTAATTGATTGTGAAATTTCTAGAAAAATATGTGATTAATCATTAAAAGAGGATCAACTGATTTAAAGATTTTAAGGGCAGATATATTAAAAGGCAAATAAGTAACTGATGGATCAATATAGAGTATTTGTACAAAGCAATAAAAGCAGTAAGCACTGAATGGATAAGTGATGTCTACAGACAGATAATTCATTACAATGAAATCATATACAAATATACAGAAATGTACACAAATCCATTTCCTCTTAAGTTAGCAAAATACTTTTCAATAAAAACATACAATACCAATGACTATGTGAGTATGTGCATTTATGCTTGCATGCATTAGGAGTTGGGATAATAATTGTAGAAGTTGATTTCTGTAAAATCCAAGAATCATGGAAATATAATAAGGTTTGCTCCCTTTATTTACAGCTTTAGGGTGTCCCTCCTAAGGAAATAATTTAAAACTTAAAATTTACTCAGTAAGATAGTCACAATGATCTTATTTAGAACAATAAAAGATTGGAAGCAACATTAAAGTCTAACTAGTGGGGTTAAGTAAAATATGGTGTGTCTGTCGTATAGGATATTTGTAACCATTAAATGTTATAGCTGTGAAGGTCATCAAGTTCCATAGAAATACAATTATTATACAATGTTAAGTGATAAAAGGCATGACACCCTACACTAAACTGAACAGGCTCTGCAAGGTACTTGCCAGTCATCCCGCTCCCTTCCATTAAACCGAGTGCAGGCCGTACTTCTGAGGGTTTGTTGTTTCAACCACAGGCTGTTGGGTGTTGTGTCACATGACTCCTCCTCATAGCTTTTGCACAAAGGGTGAGTGTCTGTGTTAGTGGGTCTTTTTAGTTTGGAGACTTGCATATTTTAGTTTGTGGATGATTTTTTGGTATTTATAGAAAATTTCTTCCCATTCTTCTGTCTGCAATCTTCATAATTCCTAATAATTGGATGGATTATAAATCTCTTTGTTTCTCTGTGATTTAAAAATGTACAGAAATCCCTCAGGATGCACAGGGGATTGTTTTCAGGACCCCCTTGTATGCCAAAATTCACATATATGCAAGTTCCACAGCTGGCCTTGTGAAATCTACATATAGAAAAAGTATAAGCAGCTTTTGTATTCCTCAAATACTATATTTTCCACCTGCTTGTAAGTGGATCTGCCCAGTTCAAACCTGTGTTGTTCAAGGGTCAACTGTATCTCCTGATAGGTTTTCTCAAGTTTATCTTCTAAATTTTCTACTGAATCTTTAATTTCAGCTATCATTATTCATTTTCATGACTTTTTCTTGTTCTCTGATAGTTCCTGTTGCAGACATGTGAAGCTCAACAAATATTCCATGTGCTTCTCTACATTTCCTGGCTTTAGTTAGATTGGAGCCATGTGACTAGTTCTGGTGAGTGGTCTGTGAGAAGAAGTGACATACATCACTTTCAGGCTGAGGCAGCTAAAAAGTACTGTGCCTGGGTCCATCCCTCTTGCCTCCTGTTCTGGTGTCCTTATAAGCCACATGTAAAAACGGTGGTGTCCTAAAATCAAGCGAACTTGTATCTCTGAGTCCCAGATAAAGGAGAACAACTTATAATTGCTTTGGACTTGCTATAAATGAGAAATAAACTTCAGTTGTCCTCAATCATTGAAAATTGAGTGTTGCTACAGCATAGCCTATTATATTTTAACTAATACAATGCTTTTTCTTTTTTTCATGGCATTCTGCCTTCATTAATGCAGTATTTTTTCTCCTCTCAGTATTATAATAATTCCTTGCTGGTATAATCTGTTTTTCTTCTAATTCCCTTTTCCCATTTGTTGTTTTTCTTTTGCATATTAGAGGCTCTCCTTAAATATCCTATGCTTTTTGACCATTCAATCTAAAAATAAGGTACAAAGTTTTGTAAGCATGGATGGGTCTTGTAGACCATTAAGCAGAGGTTAGCTCTTCATTGAGAGACCCACATGTGTCAATACATGAAAATCCTTTAGGTCTATTCAATATCCAAATAGAATAGTCCTCCAATATTTTGGGAGGTGGAATGGCACATATATCTGTCTGTGTTGTGAGAGCAAGGTGTGGGAAGGGTCTCGTTATTTAAAGTGCAAACTTTCACTAAATTCTGCATTTTCAATGCCTGGTGTCCCCAGATTTGGAAGCCTTATTCGATTTTGCTAGCGAATCAACTTCTGATCTTTTGCGGGGTTAGTCATCTGGTTGTGCAGTGTTTTTTGTTTGTTTGTTTGTTTGTTGTTTGTTTTGTTTTTGTGGTGGTGGTTGTTTTGAAACGAAGTCTTGCTCTGTCACCCAGGCTGGAGTGCAGTGGTTCAATCTTGGCTCACTGTGACCTCTGTCTCCCAGGTTCAAGCAATTCTTCTGCCTCAGCCTCCCAAGTAGCTGGGACTACAGGTGCGCACCATCACACCCAGGTAATTTTTGTATTTTTAGTAGAGACAAGGTTTCACCAAATTGGCCAGGTTGGTCTTGAATTCCTGACCTTGTGATCCGCCCGCTGTGGCCTCCTAAAGTGCTGGGGATTACAGGTGTGAGCCACCGTGCCTGGCCTGTATAGTTTTGAGAAGGGGATTTGGGAGGATCCGACTACATACAGGTTTCAACCAAGCCCTTTATTTTTAGTCTTATGCCTCATCCTCATCTTTGGCAGTGCCTGGGTCTTCCAAATGCTAAGTCCTCCCAGGAACCCACTGGGCAAGTTACCTTTCTGCTGTAGGCATGTGGGCTGGGCTTACTCCACTCTGCAGTCAGTCACTACTCCTCCATCTGGTATTTGGACTTGACATAAATGAGATCTTTCAAACTTGCCAAATTTTCTTCTTATCTATGGTTTTCTTCTGTGTTCTCTTGTTTCTTGTGGGATTTATGTATTTTTATTCCTTCACTGAGACTTGACGGCATGTAGGAACAGAGAAGAAATTTCTTTTAGAAAATAAATGGTAAATTACCTCTTTTATCTGGAAATATATTGCTTTTGTAATGGAAAAAATCTGAATAAAATAATTACAAGGAAGTGCCAACACTGCTCACTATGAATAACTAAAATCTACACAAGTACAGCAAGAAAGTGGCCAACAGACGTGATTTGATTTTCTTCCCACTCACCTCCCTCTAGTATCAGCAAAGGTTTCATGGAATTCTGTAGGTGCTTATGCAATTCTTGAAATATTAAGAAGGTTTAGTAATTCAACTTCAGTAATACTTATTGAGAAAAATCACATCACTGAAACTCCTTTCCAGAATTGTTTTCTGTGAATTGGCACCAATAGTACAAGCAAAAATTAATATTTTAGTTTTTGTTGCTTTGTTATTTGGTTTCTGAACAAAATTGTAAACATGAAAAATTGACTGTTTTGGAGAAAGGAATAGATGTAAAAGTTATCATTTGGATTAACTGCATTGTAACATATAAACTCAGAAATATTTCCTAAGTGTTATTCATGTTTTCATTGTAGCTTAGCTCTATTTTAAGTTTTTCTTTCATAAGGTTAATTTTTCCCTCTCATATGCAACAGTGAGCCAGAGATAGCTTATTCCCCTGATTCCCACTCCCCTCAGCACATACTATATTACCATGAAAATAGAAATATGGTTTGCCCTCATCCTTGTATCTTTTTGGGAATCCATTCTAAGGAAATGATCCAAAATTCAGCATATTTGGCATTACGTTACTCATAACAGTCTTGTTTATAACAGGAAGAAATTAAAACCACACACACTTTCAACACATATACATGCAACTTACCCCAGTCAGGTGTTCTTAATTACGTGAGGGAAAGATTGGCTTGAAAGAGGAGCATAGGTTCATCTTTAGTAACAGCAGGAAGGCAGAATATATGGGTGCAGATGGTGGAAGGTGGGTAGATTGAGGGAGTAGGAGTTTGTGGAAGTTCTCTTCTGATTGCTCCAGTTTTGCCAGGAAAGTAAGAAGCAAGGTTGTCTGCTGCGAGTGGGGGCAGAGGTGTTGGATGTGTGAGGAGAAAGAAGAAGGTGCGAAATAATCATCTAGTAGAGTGGGAGGGTGAATGTACTAGAGAAATACAGTATGGTTGTCAGGCAGCTTTATGGACCTCCTTGAGGTCAAGAGTTGAATTTAAAGAAAGACATGCCAGCATGGCTTTTTATGTTTCCAGCCACTTCTAGCTGGACTGACTTCATAGGCCAAAGCAGCAAAAATGAGAAATAATCAAATTTGGAATTTAGCCAAGCAAATATAATGAAGAGAGACATGGAAAGTGAGGATATATACACAGAAGTGACTAATGACTGACTATGGATCTAAGCTGGTTTAGGAGGGAAGAGAAGAGGAAATAAAGTGGGTGGGGACAATAAAATGGTGGCAGGATCAATGGATTATAGGTCCTGTGTGTGGGGGTGGTGGTGTGCAGAGGATTTTTTGTATCTAGGGCTCTAGAAAGAGCTAAAAACATAACAGCGATCAGGGAGGGAGTATCATGGAATAGTCACAGTAATTTGTTATGATAAGGCCCAGTGTGTCACTATGAGAGTTATGAGGGAGAGTGGAGGACAAGACCACCAATGCAGGGATATTGAGTGAAGTGAGTGACCATGACACATGAAGTTTCTTCAGGTGGTATATTAAAACCACCAAAACTCAAGATAGAAGTAATGTTGGAGAAAATGACAGTGAGATAAATGTCAGTAAGTTATAGTTGCAATGAAGGGTAGTGGGTGATATAGTCTGATGACATATGATTCAAAGCAGGGGTATTTTCGGAGGAGAGAGGGAGAATGGTCTGGAAGTTGTGATGAGCAGCAAGGAGGACCTCATCCTGCCTTCAAGCCCAGAAGTCTGAGGGCCGTGGGAGGAAAAGCAGCCTTTGCGCTACTGGAGGCAGTGTCCTCTGGGGAGAGCCAAGTTTTGGTTAGAGCAAGAAAGTGAATGTTCAGAGAAGAGGCTGGAGACGGGGGGATTTTTGCTAATGATGGATCATGAATTCAAGAGGGCACAGTGGAAGGTTTGGGGAGCTCAGGAGGGGTGGGATGTGGGGATAGAATTGGGTTGTACAGAGTCATCTAGGGATAAAAAGATGGGAAGTAAGTGTGTCCTGGGAACCAGCAACTTCTTGGGGCAGGTAACACAAACAGGGACAAACGCCATAATGAGATTGGTTCCAGCGGACTCAAGGCAGATGTTGATGAGAAACTTTGAGTGTTGAGCTGTGAGCATTTGGGGGTATGGAGGCATGAGTGTCTGGGGCTTCGTGCTGGGCCCTGTCCTTGGCAGGTAGAAGAACTGGGATCTTAGAGTTGGGGTAGAGCTTATGCTTGACCTCTCTTAGGGAGGGACTGTGGAGTTACTATCATACATTGTCATTTAAACCTAACAACTCTAAAAGGGTTTTATTCCTCATTTTATAGATGTGAAAGTTGACCTTAGCTCAGAGAGGTTAAGCAACTTGCCCAAAGCCACACAGCTAGTCAGGTTTGAGTTAAGATTCAAAAGCCAAATCCGTTTTTTCCTTTTGTTTAGTTTTGTCCAGGTCTGTTTGTTCACGTTCTTTTTCTCTCAAATCACACTGCCTCTACCTCTTCTTTGAGATGAATGAGACTGAGGTAAGATAGGTATAGCTGAAGATATGATTGTGGAATGGGAGCAGAGTTGAAGAAACTTACTCTTGAAGGCATGTTTTTTGTTTTTGTTTTCCTGTTTAATCCAGATATCCATTTGCGGGGGTCCTCTCTTCCCCTTTAAACTGAGACAAGAGTGCTTCGGTATTTCAAACAAGTGAAAGTTATTAAGGCCTCCCCAAAATTTCTACAGAGTCCCGGGCTCGCATTTTCATAGATTCCTCTGGGTCTCAATAATAGCGCTCTGATGTCTATGCTTCATTGCCCCAGATAGAAAAGTGTTCCTTCCTTAAATTCTACAAAACCACATTCTCACAAAGCACTTATATTTGTGATAGACTTTACAGAGGCCTTTGATGGGAGGCAAAGAAGGCGTATTTATCCACTCTTGTTCTTAAAAGCCTTTGTTTTCCATACTGGGATTTTGCACTTGCGGTTTCTCTTGAGTGTCAGTTTGGCCAACTTGCCGACTCCTCCCTATTCCTCTCCTTGTCCTTCAGAATGCTAATTTTTTCTACTCTATTATGTTAGGCAACTGTTCCTATCCCTTACTCTCCTTTCTGGTCTAAGCCTTCCTTTGTAAATCCAAGTTCATTAAGGCTTTCCACTGATGAAAAGATCTTCCATGAAACCAGATCCAGCTGCCTGGTTTCCCTTTCTATTGCCCTGTATGCAGATAGAAGCAAGGCCATCTGCTAAGACGGGGAGCTAAGGTGGGGAGGGCAGGAGTAATAAAGGGCTTCGGAAGGGGGTAGGGTAATGCCAAGTGGCCTCTACAAGGAAAAGGGAGACAGGAGTATCGACGGAAAGGAATGCCAGGGATGCTGGGGGACTCAGCTGAAACAGATTCTTTAGCAATCAGCCATGCAAGCAGAAAAAAACATTTGCTGGGTTTTCTTGGGGTTAAAGTCTGCAGAGTGAGCACAGGATAAAGACAAAGACACAAAGTTATGTAACGTGCTGACAAGACAGTTGCTGGCGAGATTGGCTGTGGGTCTGAGCAGGACAGTGAGAAAATGGGCCAAGAAGAGAAGAAAAACAAAAAAGGAAAGAAAAATCCAACATCTCAACAAGATTGGAAAATGGGTTGTGAAAGGAGGGGCAAGAGAGGAAGGAGGTAACGTCAGAAAGGGGATTCATAGAGGAGTTAAGATACACCAGCTGCTTGGCTCTCCTGGCACCCTAGGACCTGAGTGCCCACTGGGCCTCAACGCCATGCTGGCACTGCCTCCTGGCCGTACTCCCATTTTCTCCCTGAAAGACATCAGCCTGCCAAAGCTGCAGCAGCATAAACAGCCCACCTCTCCAGCCTCACAGAAGCCTGATGAGAAGGCTCATCAGGAAATCGAGTGCCCCTCCCCAGGCAGGCTTAGCATAGCTCCCTGCAGCACCTGTGGTCATCCAGTTTAGGAAACACACAGTCGCAGAATAGCTCCTATTTCTCTCTCTCCCACTTCTCTAACATCCCACTCTCCTTTTAGGGAACAATGTTCTCTCTTGCCTGCTGCCACACATATGGGGGGTAGCAAGAGTGGGCATTTGATTTCCCTGGACTTGAAATTGAATCCATCTCTACTGAAATTCTCTCTAATTTACATGTGCTCAGTGTTATCACCTTGTGGTCCAATTGCTCATCAGTTGCCTTCCTCCCATCCCACAGTCTCCCCACATTTTTGTTTCATTTTTATTTACTCCTCTTCCAAATCAAATGTCATCTCTGTTAACACTGTATTGGAAGAAGGGCAGAGAGAGCCCTTCTTTCTGCGTTCTTGTTAGAGGCGAGCTGTGGTTTAGGAAATGTTCCACATGCCATAGGTGATCCATCTGTCATCAGTGTAGCACAAAGCAGCATTTCTGCCTGCTTTTTCTTTCTCTGTCTTTCCCCCACCCCCCGCCCCAAGCCATATCTCTAGTAGCTTGATATCATGTACTACTGTGCCTATGGCACAGTTAGGGACCACTTTAAAGTTAAAACAAATGTCCTTAGTCACGGGGCCATATGGAGACTTGGTGGGTGGTACCATTAGTGGTAAAGCTTGAGGCAGATTTGCATTTGCTTTGTCCAGAAGAGAGAATCCCAAATCAGAGAAATGTTTTCATAAAATATTCTGGAACAAATTTAAAGCTGCTTTACCACCAAACAAGAATCTTCCTGTTCTCTGTGCAGTTTTTCCCCTCAAATGATTTCAGACATGCCCATTCTGGGCAGAAGCTCCCGACACTTACCTGCATGATCCTTGGCAACTGTCATTTTATCCCAATGGGCAAATTTGATCATGGTCTTCTCCAATACCAGCACAGAGCTCTCTCAGGGGATTTCTTGGGGGAAACAATGACACAGTTTCTCTTTAATATTTCATCATACATTCACATATTTCTGGTGAACTCATAAGTAAACATCTAAAGCACAGAGCAAGCTATTTATCAGCCAATGAACTATAAGCAATCTTCAGCTTCTGGGCATTCTGCTCACCCTTCAAAGTGATGTCCTCGGCTAATTAGACAACTTGCTCTTCTATCACAGGGACCAGAATAGACCATGACTGTGAGCAACTTGGAGGCAGGGGACATGTCCCTTCTCATTGCACCAACACATGTTTGGCAAGAAGTAGGGCCTTAAGGCAGAACCAAACTGAATCTGGAGCTGAAAGGAGCCCACAAAATCATCTAATTAATAGGTTCCTTAGAACACTAGGGCCCAATGAGATAGAGGTTAAAGGGTGTCAGGGAAGAGGAAAGAGAGGTTCAGAGGCTGTTTCATGGGCAAGTTAGTTTGGAAAATAATGTAATCAACAAAGTTTTATTACTATTATAGGACATACTGAGTCTTTAAAGTGCTAATGAGCCTTATGAATGACCAAAAGAAGGGACATACGTGTATATTGTGTATTCTCACTAGAGTTCTGTGGGTCAGTGTGGGAAGGGCTGATACCGTTCAATTCTCTCATTTTATACATGAGGAAAATGAGGCTATAAGAGGAAATAGCAAGGCCAGGCGTGGTGGCGCATGCCTGTAACCCCAGCTACTTGGGAGGCTGAGGCACGAGATTCACTTGAACCCGAGAGGTGGAGGTTACAGTAAGCCAAGATCGCGCCACTGCCCTTTAGCCTGGGCAACAGAAAGAGACTGTTTAAAAAACAAAAAACAAAAAAAAACAAAAAAAAAAAACCACACTCAGAGACATTTACCTTATTAGCAGTGCCTCTGGGATTAGAACCTAGACCTCTCCTTGCTGTGCTTTTTTCCACAGAAAATCACCACAGCCTCTGCATCCCATGCAATGGGGAGAGAACCTGCTGAATGAGCCAATAGCACTAATATGATGTCAAGAGCTTGTTTTTAGCTTGACATTTCAAAGATTGATGTCCTGTGACAAGAAGAATTACTCCAAACCTTCCCAGGCCTTTAGAGAACACATTTTCCCTCATGAACCATGCGGTTCCCAAACTTTGGATCCATGTAAGGAGATGTCATACGGTGCTTTATATTTTATTTATGATAGCCCAAGCCATCACATCACCTTTTTAAAAAGGGCAAAAATGATTGCTACAGAAAGAACCTTTATGGACAGATGCAAAACCCTATACTGAAATTAGAAAAAACATAAAATGCCAAGAAAAACAGTCAAACGTGCATGGAACACTAGACAGAGAGGTGTGCATGTGATGGAGTGGGGGTGTCTTCTGAATCATTTCCCTAAATATAGCAATGCAGTTTTAAAAAAATAAGCCTTTAAGTGCTGCTTCCCAGAAATCCTGTTATTTCTCTGCATATGCCTTATGTAAGTCTGTGCCACAGGCCTGCAAAATAGTCAAACGGGAAGGGACAGCCCTATCCCGAAAGAACCATCAAGAGAGATTCAACAGAAAATTTGAGAGACTATGAAACTCGGGAACCTTTGGCTTTTCCATCCATGCAGCTGTGAGTGGTGCATTTAGAGCTGATGTCTGTCAAGTGCTTCCCACCTAGATGTTGTGGGGTAGCTCTAATATTTATTCATTTCACTTCTGAATAGAGCTGTCACTGTTGTTAATCATTTCCAAAAGCCTTAACATTATTCTTATTGAACTCCTGAAAGAACGTCTCTTTCTACCTCCCACTCTCATTCCTTTGGCATCTCTCTCTCCGTTTTCCTTTTTCTATCTTTACCTTCTGAGTGGTTTTAGAAAGAGGCCTCCAGAGGTTTTAGAAATCCATTTCTTTAGATTCTTCTTCCAGCTTACATTAACTGCTTACAACAGTTCTCTGAATTTCCTCCTAGTAAGTGGTACAGGGTGGCAGGAATCCCGATGGCCAATGGCAGGCATTTGGATACTACACAGGTGAGTTGTTGAAAGAGAGCCACATTTACGTTGGAACAACTGTCCTGATGTTTCTGGCTCCACTCTGCCTCCATAAATGCCCATGTTTGGGGTCAGCTTTGAGCACACCAGCGAACAGAGTGACTTGTCATGATAGCAATCTCCTCTCCTTTCTAGAAGCCCCTTCTAATGTCATTGACCTGTGTGCACCCTCATCCTGGCAGTTTCTCCCAACTGGGCCTCTGTTTTTCCTACTTACCCATAACAAAACCTCTTTACCAATCTGCAGTCCTATTTAATCCTCTTTAGTTTCTCCCCTGAGCTGCTAGAGATAATCATGAATCCCTGCTAGCTGGAGCCCTGGAAATAAGCTGATAAACAATTTCCTAATAATCTATTAATAACTGATAATGACTATATGTTATTTGCCTAGGATACTTCACATTTTTTATTAAAATTTCTATTAAAATACTAAGTATTAAAATATGAAGTATCCTAGGCAAATAATATAGGCAATAATATAAGCAAATAATATAGGAAATGTGAAGTATCCTAGGCAAATAATATATTACTCATTAATTCACAGAAGTACTGAAATGCCTACCATGTGCTAAGCCTTATTCTAGGGATCAATTTAGACAAGGTCCCTGCTTACCTTCTAGGGGGAGAGACAGTCAATAAGTACATAAACAAGACCATTTGTGATAGTAGGTTCTATGAAGAAAATAAAGAAGGTAATGTAATAGAATCATTAGTTAAGCTGGGCTAAGTAGGGAGGGCTTCATTGAGGAGGCAACATTTGAATCTTCCCCTGAATGAAGCAGAGCAAAATCTGGGAAAAGAGTGTTCCAGGCAGAAGGAAGACCAAGTGTAGAGTTTCTGAGGTGGAACTTGGATAGGAAAGGAAAGGAAGTGAGGATGGCTGTGGTGTGATGAGTAAGGAGAGTGGAGGGGATAAGCCCGGAGAGGTGGGCTACAGTAAAGTCATGCAGTGCTTTGTAGCCCCTGATGAGAAGTTTAAATTTTATAAGTGCAATGGGAAGTCTTTGGAGGGTTTTGGAAGGGCACTGACTTTACATTTAATTATTAAAAGGCTAGGCTCTAACTTAACAGAATGTTCCTCTACCGTGGAGGAACTTTCAAGTCAGCAGAGGAAGAGCTAAGACAGTGTATTCAGAAGCAGATTCAGGACATCTGGATCACAGTTCTAATTACCCAAAACAACTTGCCAAGCTCTTTCACCTCATTTCTTTCAGATTTTTCACATGGACTGTGATGAGGTTGCACCACTTAGTACCCACAAGCCTTTTCCCATCATAACACACATAGAAAGTAATTTTTGTACTGCACCCCTGGAAATGAGGCTTCTAGAGTCTTCCCTAAAGGCTGAGGCACACCCATAGCACACAGGGAGAGAACTTCTAGACTAGGTGACTTCTAAGGTCTCTTTTGGTTCTAGTAGTGTAAGATTTCATGATATTTCCTTGTGATGTCCCTCAATTCACACCACATAGGCAATTGTCTATTCTGAAGTAAGAGCGATGTCAGCCTAGGTGATAATGATTCATGTGGCCTATTATTTCACATTTCCCAAGCATCAAACCTCAAATTCTAAATAAGCATTGTCATCTGGTACTTTCTGCTGCTGACCATACACATTTCCCTGACGATTCCTTTTCTGCCACTTGAGTGATCAAACCCTTGCAGAAGTGACCTGCCCAGCTCACAGCTGTTGATGCTTCAGCATGTTTTGCCTTTCTGATTTGCAAACTTAGATTTCAAACCAAGTGGCAAGATAATCCATCACAATGACTTAAGTCCAAAGTGTTTATTATGCCCTTTCCCCTTTTCCATAGTTTGAAAAAATTTCTTATTACCTAAAAAGCTAGAGTCATAGTCTGATGTAATAGGTAAAACATGGAGACAGGAGGTATCTGCATCAGAGGATCAAAAATCACTCTAAAACAATAAAAAGTAAATGTGTAAAGATAGCAAGTTATCCTCTACCCATAGAACATGTCCTTTGATTTACACATTCAGTCACACAGATGCCTTTGAATATGTCCCTCCCCATTTTTCTATCCTATCCTAGTATATACAAACTAATTGAACTCTACATTACTCACATTTATTGTACCTCCAGACTTTAAACATCCTTTCTTTTTTATGATTTATACCACCCATACTCACCTTTGCTCTGCACTCCATCATGAGCTCAGTTTTTTAAATTTTATTTTACTTTAAGTTCTGGGATACATGTGCAAAATGTGCAGGTTTATTACATAGGTATACATGTGCTATTGTGGTTTGCTGCACCTATTGATCCGTCCTCTAAGTTCCCTCCCCTATCCTCCCACCCACCAACAGGCCCTGGAGTGTGTTGTTCCTCTCTCCATGTTCATATGTTGTCATGGTGCAACTCCCACTTATGAGTAAGAACATGAAGTGTTTGGTTTTCTGTTTGTGTGCTAGTTTGCTGAGAATGATGGCTTGCAGCTTCATCTATGTCCCTGCAAAGAAAATGATCTCATTCTTTTCTATGGCTGCATAGTATTCCATGGTGTATATATACCACATTTTATTTATTTTTCTTTATCTAGTCTACCACTGATGGACATTTGGGTTGGTTCCATGAATTTGCTTTTGTAAACAGTGCTTCAATAAGCATATGTGTGCTTTATAGTAGAATGTTTCTATAAATAGAATATTTATAAATATTTTTAATATTTTAAAAAGATATATATATAAAGAATATTTACAAAATAAAGAGTAGAATAGTCTACTCTTTATAGTAGAATGATTTATATTCCTTTGGGTATATACCCAGTAATGGGATTGCCGGGTCAAATGGTATATCTGGTTCTAGATCCTTGAGGAATCGCCACACAGTCTTCTACAATGGTTGAACTAATGTACATTCCCACCAATAGTATAAAAGTGTTCCTATTTCTCCACAGCCTTGCCAGCATCTATTGTTTCTTGACTTTTTAATAATTGCCATTCTGACTGGTGTGAGA